ATAAAATCAAGACGTTTTCTTGGTTAGAGAGAAGTGTCCATCTGACAGTGAAACATAAATCAATGTGTGGTCTTTGAGCGTTAATTCTCCCCGTAGTAATTCCAAGAGGTGCACAGAAGGAACTAGCTTCTGGTGGTTGTGTGTTAGCATGATAACGTGTGCTAATTAGCGCTAAACAAAAATGACAGCTGAGGCTAATGGGAATATCATCAGCATTACAGCATAATGATGATGTTTGCAGGTATCAATTAATAAACCAAAATGGATGGATTGACACTCTGACTTGATGATGGCTCAACACAAAAAGTTATTACAATTTACATTACAATTTTGTCATGTACAATTTTGTACATGACATTGTCTGTACAAAATGTCATGGCAATAGTTGTTTTGCCATATTTGGTTGCATTGCATCCATCCAGTAGTTGAGTTATTTCTGTCTGAGCTGACCAACATCTGCCAGCATGGCTATAAGACCCCAGGTGTGTCACAGAGGTCTTTCCAGGGAATCACGTCCTCTATTCAAAGACTCTCATCTTAGGAACACAAAAACACAATTACAACAAATGACTAGACAGTGGCAAAGCTACAAAATGCCAAAAAAAAACATAATTTTCACCATCTGCTCGCCTTAAAGTTGAATTGGCACACGGCTGGATATTATATTTTGCCAGCTGAGATTGCAGCCAGAGACAGATGCAAGGCCGTATTTGCCTAAAGACACAAATCCTGGTCATTAAAAACTTCAGAAAACTTCCCTGGAGGGCTGCTTTTAGCATACTTCCTTTAATTAAAAACTACCCATATGCAGTCTTAATCTTGCTTTTACAAACACAGTGTTGAGACTGGCAGGCAACGGGTGCAGGTCGGTAGCAGCGCACAGGTCGGCATGAGGATATTTTTACAAAGGATGTATTCATTTTCACATAAATAGTGGAGAAACTGAACATGAAAATATGTTTTTATGATAACCTGATATTTTTTTATCTTTGGACTTTTTATTGGTCTGTCCGTCAAATCAGAACCGGCTATGGCCAATGTGGCTGTCAATAATGCAAGTAGGTATTACATTGTGTGTGAAATGAAACCTAACACCATAATCTACTCCGCCCAGGTCAGTACTTCGCCAGTATAATGATCATCGTTGGGATGTCAGTCATTGCCACAGTGGTGGTACTGCAGTATCATCACCACGATCCAAATGGGGGCAACATGCCAAAATGGGTGAGTCTTCGCTCAAACTCTTCATCATAACCTGAAGTATATTATCAGTTACACACATCATGCTGTCCAGCGGGTTAATCCCTGTTAAGGATTGGTCTCCCTATTTCAGATATGATACATCACTGTTATTAATCTCAATTTTTCTCATTATTCAATATCGTATCATGCTCTGCCATTTTCATTTCTACATTCATCTGTCAGTGCTACCTGCGCTCCTCTGCCAGTTTCCTTTCCACTTTTCACTCTCCGACTTCCTCGGCTATGACTCATTCGTCAGTGTCAGTCTGCAACGGCCTCGCCACAGTCTTTAACAGGAGTGTTTTTCAAAGCGCTCCGGATACGTAGGCGGTTTGATTTGACTCATTCCCTCTTCTTAGTTTTTCTTGCCTTCTGTTAAACGCAAAAACATTTGAAATGTGGAAAGAAAAAAAAAAAAGGTCTGAAATAATGACATGACACATACAAATGATATGCTATTGTTTAAAAACCCTGTCATTTCAATCAACAAATGAAATATAGGATAACATTGTTTAGCTTTTTAAAAAAATTGACAGGTATTCGATATTTGCACAAAAAGCCAGGCAGCATGAGAGTGCAGATGTCGCATTTATCAAAACATTGAAGGACGTTCTGTTGATGAATGGCCTGTTAAGACAGTCCGACGGCCAATTAACAAGCTAATTGACATGGTCCGGATGAGAGCACTGAACCAGCACAGTTGATAATTGCAGCCTGGACAAAAGCAACATCAACAGCAGCAGCAACAGGGACTGTTACCTAGCCAGTAAACACACTCGGTGGGGACTTTATCCCACAGTCATCTGGACATTAGCTTCTCATTAGATGCCCATCTGGCAGCTGTTGGACTAAAACACCCTTTCAGGGGACATGTAGTCTCTTTCCAAGGGAGTTTTGTTTTCATGTTTGAGGAACAGGAGACGAGAGGAAGAAGAGAAGAATAGAACAAGCTTTACTCAACTCAACTCGCAAGCAGCTAATCTTCCCTTTATTCCAATGCTGCAGTTAACGGAGACAATATTGGAGGCTCATTACACTGTAATCTGACAGACAATCTCAATAATTCCACCGTTTGAATGTAATGCTGTCTTTGGAAGTATCCTCTCTGCTGCAAATACAGTTAAAGCGAAAAATCTTCTCTGCCTCAGGCACTATAACTGGGCGTCCCTGGTGAGGATCTCATACTTCTACTTATGCAAGTGCAGCTGCATTTTGAAACAAGATGCAAGGTTGGAAATATTACGAACATCAATCCACGACAAATGAGGCTATTCACCCGGCTTAACTGGTGTCATGTGAAGGTCAAAATGTGTAGGTGGTTATCATTGTTTGGTGGCTCTCAATGCTTTGTCTTGTCATTATTTTCCTTTGCTTCCTCGTCTGCTTTTATGCTCTTCTGCTCTGCTACCTCCTGTCCTCCACTCTCATCTTTACATATCTCAGTTGCTCTCTCTTTCTCTCTACAGGTGCAGCTCGTCTTGCTGCAGTGGGTAGCATGGTTCTTGCGTATGAAGCGACCGGGAGAGAATGACGACCCCGAGCGGCCCCCGTGTGCCCCCCACTTGCGGCGCTGCTCCTCGGCCTCCCAGAGTGGAAGCATCCCGAATCCACCGGACCCCACCCTCCATCCACTACACCCACAGTACCTGGCTCCTCTCCATGCGGGGCATCCTCACTTCCACGTCCAATCGAGTGCTAACAACAACGGGAACCTTCTTTACATGGGCTACCAGAGCATGGAGGACCCTTCAATGCTCTCAGAGCCTCTCCAGAGAAATAACATCTGCACGGGGCCTCAGCGGGTACCAGGAAGCCCACCTCCTCACATCCCATCTCAGTTCTGCAGCTCCCCACCACCTCCCATCCCCAATATGGACACTGTAGGCTGCCCCAGCACTGTCTCCAGTGGTGGGGGCTTTGGAGGTGGACCCGGAGGGCTTGGCGGGTGCTCGACTGCGGGGATAGGAGACCCCCAGCTACAGGCCATCTTGGAGGAGGTGCGTTACATGGCAGACCGTTTCCGGGAGCAGGACGAAAACGAGAGCGTGGCCGACCAGTGGAAATTTGCAGGGGCTGTGATCGATCGTCTATGCCTGGTGGCGTTCAGCGTTTTCAACATCATATGCACCATCTCTATCCTCATGTCAGCTCCCAACTTTGCAGACGCCATTTCAAAAGACTTTGTTTGAAAGCAAAGACGAAAAAGGAGGAGGAGAAGTGTGAAGAAAAGGATGACGGGAATTAAATAGAGGATAAAGGATCGAGTGGGCCTGGATCCAAGGAAACACAATTTTCAGCGGACTGTAAGCTCTGTGATTTGTGATTGCAAGGAACTTGGAAATAGTAAAAAAAACAAACAAATGATTTTCTTTGCAATACATTCAGTTTTGTAACTGATTTATAAGAAGAAAACAGACGAGGAAAGGGGTACAGAGTCAACTTAAAATGAGATTAGGGTGAGCAGGGTGCTTTATCAGATTCTTGACACGGTGAAATGGATTCTTGTGGTTAATTCAAAGACTTTAACCACAAAAATGAGGAGAAAGAAAGAAGAAGCAAGAGAAGACTATTAGTCAATGGGGATATTGAGAGAGTAAGAGACGGCAGATAGATCGAGACAGATAAATAAGACAGATATTTGGCTGTTTTTTCTTTCTTCTTGAGGAGGGAAGACAGTTGGTCACTCCCACATGTTGAGAATGGACTGCATCATTTAAAGTGGTGTAAGGAAGAGAGCGCGGGGAGAGGACAAAAGTAATTTTACAGACAACAAAGAGCGATGTTGAACGAACAAGACTTCATAGCTTGTGACATTGGTTAGGAGGAGTAAACAGCTTGACGCTCGGATGTACAAAGTTGGACAGAAGATCAGGAAGCAGAGAAGAACAGAAGAGGATCTCATCAACTATTCAATCACATCCATCTAATGACCGTCAAAATGAAAGACCTTGGATACTCTTTAGGACTAATAAGCTGTTAAAAGATGAAGTCCCCTCTCTGCTCGACGCAAAACCACTTTAAATTTAAAGGCCTTATCTCTTTGAGACGATTGCCAATCTGCAACAATCAGCAGAGATCAAAAGCTCCTCAGCAGCGGGCACAGTGTGCGGCGCTTATTACGACCGGGAAACTGAATTAACCGGTCATCAACAACGCAATGGCCAGTAACTGCAGCACAGTGGGGGCTTGAACCAATAATCACCATGAAGCAGTTACCTAACTGCATCTGGCAGGTCCTAATGGACCAACAGATCTCAATGGATCTCATGTTAAAGGTTTAATAACTGAAATGGGAGGTCAGGTCTTTGAAAGAACACGAGAGGGAGAAAAAAAAAAAAAAAATTGTTCAAAATCCCCAATTTGATATGGAGAAGCACCAGCCTGTCGGATCCCTTCAAGAGGTTATAGCTATAGAGTGATTTCACACATATCTAAAATGAAAGATGAGATTTTAATGGAGCTGTATTTTCGTGAAATTGAGTCCAGTAGATAAAGTGTTATATTAAAAGGTTTCACAAAATATGTCTTTAATTAGTTTGGGTTTGCTAGCAGTTTGAATGTGTCCTGAATGCAAGGTTAGCCTAGCTTAGCTCAATTCAAGGATGGCTGTCTAAAAGCTGTATTACACAATTTACAATAAGCAGAGAACTTCCAATCTACTTTTATTCTACCTTTTATGGTAGAATGTTCAAAATCACTCCCATTTCATTATATAGAGTTTCTTAACCCTAAACCAGAGAGGAATGTCTGTGGCATGTAACATTTCAGCAAACAATCCCAGTATACCAAAATACTGGAATAGTGAAATAATTGAGTGTTTTTGGACACGGCGCAAGTTTATAAGAAAAGGATGCGTCATGAGTCAGATCCAGCTGAAAGTGCACCTACAACAACTCTGTTCTGCACAATTCAGCAAAGGTAATCGCTGAGTCTCTCAATGCTTCACTGATTCCAAGATAGTGTCACATTGTCTTCAGTATAAGTTTTCATGTGGATATAGTGTGCACGGCCACTGAAAAGAAATGTGGAAATAGCTACCCACACACATAACATAACTGGTGAAAACAAATGATTAAGCATGAAAAACTGGATGAAGTGTGTTTTGTTGCAGTTGAGAGATACGCAGGAAGTGTGCAAAAACCAAACAACCCTCACTAGTTGCTCTATATATTTTATATTGTCAACATATCCTATGAAAAAACAATTAAACCTGGAATAAGTTATGTTACATTGTCTGTGACATACAGACTTATTTCCAATACTTAAAGTCAGGTTACAAGCGTATAGTTTCATGTTAAGTTATTTGTAGTCAGGTGTATGAAGGACTGACTCTAAAGCCCCTTTTCCTCACACGTGCTGGCTCGGCTTGACACGGTTTGACTTGGCGCATCAGTTGAGCACGGCAGCAGGGATTTGCATCTCCATTACAACAGAACAGGGCTACCTGCTTAAAGGTGAGTAAGAGGAGACAAGTGGTCAAAGCAGGACGTGTTTTTGAGAATGGTCTATGTGGTACTAGAAGAATAAGCGATTACAGACTATGGCTACACAGATAACACTTGTTAGTAGGAGGATAAGTGTGTTGTTGATTTTGGTGTTTTCAGGAGACTTGATGACAATGAGAAAAGTATATATTGGCAGCCTGATCCTGTAAGGAGTTCATTAATGTTTGCTGAAGTCCAACAGGACAAAGTACGTTTAATACATTCCTGACCTACACTGTCTCCGGTGGCTTGACACCTTTACTATCCACATAGAGAGTTTAGAGGCAGATGTACAAATACTTCCTCTCTAAACCTCTCTTTATCTTCTGTCTCCTCTCTCTTTCTCTCTGAAGTCAAGTCTCCCAGCAGGCGGAAAGTAAACTTCCTGCTGGGAGGTTTGTAGAAGGATGTTTTCCTTCCAGCACATACCGACACCTAAACCCTGACATCTGTACATTTCTCATCCTGAAAATAAAGGATTCTCCCTTTTTTTCTACCACCTTTGGTCTGCTCCCTATCTTTCTCTGTTGACAGTGGCCCTACACCCAAAAAGAAGAGAAAAATGACAGAGAGCGAGAGAGAGGGGCTAAGAGGAGGAGAGAAAGTGCTGACTGGCAGTGAGAGCTGGACAGGGCCTTAATTGATCACTCGTTCAGGAAGGAGAGAGGAGGGAGGGAAGGGATGAGATGGGGAGAAGAAGAGGGGAGGGTAAATGGAGGGGTGGGGGGGGCATACTGGGTAATTCATCGGATTTATGAGGGACAGAGGCAGGAGAGATGGGTGCTCAGACAAGCATAACTCAGTCACAGACATCAAACGAAAGGCCACTGCAGTACATCACACTACAAGGGAAAATATACACGACAGAAATAAACAGAAATTAGAGACACATTTTCATGCAGCTATATGTCAATCAAGCCGGGGGACTGTGTGTGGCCCTCACTGTGTCACTCAGTCAGTGTGCCAGACTGAGTAAAGAGTCAAGGGTGTATTTATAGCAGTGTGCTGGTCCTTATTCAGCTCAGCCAAGGCCCCTCTGTTTGACGGGCTGACTCTCCTCTCTGAGGTCGAAGAATGTGCAGCGTTAGCAATCTGGCAGCACTTAGATTTACTGTGTTCACTCAGATGGAATAAAAGAAGAGTGAGAATGTGAGTGTGTGTGTGTGTGTGTGTCCATGGGAAAGATGAGCCTCAGGGTCTGCGTATGCGTAGAATCAATCAGTTGTTGTTCTCACCCCACAATTTTGATTTAATAAGAGCTCGCTGACCTAAAGCTTTCTCGCAGGCCTCAGATATTTTACCAGATGTGTAATTCAACTGAACCTCACTGGAGGCCCCATTAGGCCTCACACAGCTCTACATCTGTGTACATGAGGTGGCGATATGTAAGCTAAAAAGACCAGAAAGACTCCGACACATCAACCTAAGGAAAGACTAAACACAGCCAGAGATATTGCACGAGGCCATCCCGTACGGCAAGAAAGCACATTAATTCATAATCTACATTAAACATTTGCACAACACACTCATCGCACACATATTCAGACGCACCCGTGTCCATGTGCGTGCACACCTGTTCTCTCTAAAGGGTCCCAGTGTGTTCTGCTGCATGAAAGCTCCCCGACATCTTGCGGCTGAGGCCGATCAATGCCTTTTAATTACCAAGGGCCCAAAGCGCTGGTCGAGCTGATGAGAAGCAGAGAGAAAGAGAAAGAGAGAGAGAGAAAGAAAGAAAGAAAGAGAGAAAGAGAGGGAGATGCTCCAGACGGTGATTGATGCTCACGCCTACCACCGAGCCTACCTACAGATGTGTCGTTAGGCTTGATTAATCCTGCCAAGCCACATTCATTCACTTTACAGACCGCCGTATAACCGGCCTGGGCCGCCGCAGTCACAAGGTTAAGTGGACACGAGGTGTCCGACCAGAGGAGCACAGACCTCTTAAACAATAAGTCAACAGTGGCTGGTTTCTCTCTGCAGCACTCTGGTTTATTACTTGACTGGTAGCTGATATTAGGATATAATGCACCCAACATGCCAAGGAAAGCTACAAATAACCTCATTCATGAAGTTCCTTCCAACTGATTCCTACCCAGAGGACCTGTCAGCATTGGCAAAGGCACACGTTTAGTTATTGAGGAATGTTACTCACTTTCCAACACGAGGAAATCAATGAAGTTTCACTTCACTTGCAGGTGTGAATAATCAACGAAGTCTCATCTGTTCATTCATTTCTTTGAAGCTATATTCACTTTCATGAAGTCCGGGGACTCACAAAAGTCAGATAAAAAAAAACAAGAATGATCCAAACGTAAAGGAGGCCGAGATAACAACCGTTTCACGCTGAGGAAAAATCCTTATGACGAGTAAACTTGGGTATAAAATTGGTTGAGTGTCCCTTTAAACGGTGCTTAATTCCAATGATCAGAATGAGGGGAAAAATGGATGTCATGGTTAATCAGCTCTTTATACTTTTAATTTCGTGTGATGGATCTGCAATCAGGTTGAAAATCATCACGCAGCTTTAAACGGACAGTAATTATTTCTTCAACCCTTCACCATCACAGCGCTAGAGTAAACTACATCAAAGGCCTGTGAGCAAAATATGAAAGAAAAGAGGTATGTCCCAGAAATTGCTTGAGGTGAAGCATACCTGATGAAAATGTGTTAGAATTCGATGCAACCCACAGCACTGTAAGAAGCATAAAATCGCATTTAAATTTCATGAGACACTACTGAAGTTTGATGCACATATTCATATCTTATGCAACTAACACGTCCTTAGTTGCCCCTCTCAGGAGAATGTTGCAATTCACTGCAACTCAATTGGCTTTGCTAAAATGAGGGAAAACAAACGGGGATAATCCAGGACGTCTCTGCACGAAGGGTGTTAGGAGTCTGGATTTGAAGCTGTTGTGCCTTTTAATTACACATTACATAATTATGCGAGTTTTTTTGTTATATAACGTTGTTGGAGATTTCAGATCCATCCTTCTGAGAAGCAGACACGAAAGACGGACAAAGAATAAACCAAACGGCTCAGGACCACCACAGCTGCTTCTGAGTAAAACTGAGAATGTGGGAGAGAGTCCCACACACACTGTTTCCACTGGAGCCTCAACACAAGTGGACGTTAAGTGGACTCAACACATTTCCCCTCAGGTGTGACCACAAGCCGGAGGACATTATTGCAGCCCGACAGTTAAAATCAGTCGACTGTTTAAAAAAAAAAAAAAAAAAAAAAAGGTTTTCTTATTGGGTCTTAATTCTCTGCTCTCACTTTATTTAGACTGTTCATTAAGAAACACTTAGTACCCTACAAGCTGTTAGTGAGGATTGATTTGGTACAGGTTCATATAAATGGCTACATTTCAATGTGAAGCAGCTCCTAATTCCACTCTTGACGACTTTTTACAAAACTACTATTTGCATGTGTTATTAGTATCATAATTAAAACTATTAATTTGCGGTGTTTTACTGTTGAAGTCAGTTTAAAGAAGAAGCACAAAGTTGAAAGTATATGTCAAGTACTTCAAATTTGTACTCAAATCCAGTACTTGAGGGATTGTACATCCTCTGTTTTAGCTTTAACGTAGACGTCTTGACATTTCTTTGACCTGCAAATCATCAAATCAGTACAATAAAGAGTGTTAGTTCACCTCAAATAGTCACACCTGATAAATACCGAGTATGCACACAAGCGAGTTTAAATTCTAGATTCTCTCCCGAGTTGGACGTAGGAGAAATGTAAAGTGAGGGCAGGTGGTAGCGTCAGGGTGGCAGCCTGCAGTCAGCACATAGTGCCCATGTGAGACAGCACTAATGAGATGAGTATTTCCACCTCAGCAGTGCCGATGCACACATTTTATAGGCTTGGCTCCACTGGGTGCACTAACAGGTTCTGGATTTTTGGTTTTAATAATGCCTCACCTCAGTTTCTCGCTACCTACCTCCTCTTGGACTGCTTCGGCTCCTGTTGAGCATAGTGAGTGACATAAAGACCTGTGCAGCATGCGACCGTCAAACTGTCACCTTTCCCGTTGCTCGGCCAGAATAAGGTGCCTGTGGACCTTTTATTAGCGGCCGTGCCCTCTGCCACGGGATCCGTTATGTACTGCACAGCACTACTCCCTTTCCTGCAGACCTGGGGCTGTTTTCAGGAAGGAAAAGTGCTTTTTATTAAATGGAAGAGTGGATGGTATACTAGGGAAGATAAGCACTGCTGTCCATAAATTAAATCAAGAACAGTCTCTTTGGTCTGTTCCATCATTCGGTTAAGCTCACAAAAAGTAGTGGCACTCTGCATTTCTATTCATCGTAAACCCCTTTAAGCTACAGAAATGTGCATAAGGGAAATGTTTCCTGCCAGCAAACCGTCACATCTGTTCCGTGCCACATCTGTCCCGTGTCACTTCTCCTCCAGCAGGCTGAGCACGGCTGTATAACAAGTGTTGAGAAATACAAAAGAAATGGCTGTCACATTAGCTTTACCTCAGACATTCTGTGACAAACTATTTAGCTCTGAAACTTTTACGACCAGCGACTCAATATGAACCACATTTGCATAAATGCCTCCCACTCAGGCACAAACTACTTATCTCACCAAACGCGAGGCGGTATAAAAAAATAAATAAACCTCAACACTTTGCCATCTCCTTGCTTGGCAGCTCACAAAAGGAGCACTCATTAAAAGCAATTTGTTCAGCATGGCTGTAACATTTTAGACCAATTAAAATATAAATACATTAAACTCCTCCTCCTCCTC